AATCGTCCTTGGGCTTTGGTCAATTCTTCAGCTATTAGATATACTGCAGCATGGAAAAGAGTCACAAAGCTTGGCCAAAGGCTGCGTGGGAAACGCTGCCTTGCTGGGGGACCTGACTGTGTTTGGGCAGAACCGTGGCGAAAGGCTGGGCTCAGCACCTGAGCGAGTGTAGTGGCAGGGGCTGCCCACGGCAGGGCAGGCTGCCTCTCCTGCTGGAATGCCCCGTTTATTTAATTTTGAACATTTAATGCTTTAAGATAGTGGTTTTGGTCTGGTTTTTTTTTTTTCTTTAGCAAAACCTTAACACTGCTGGATGGAGGCCAGCAGCAGGGGAGGGGTGTCACTCAGGCTGTGGGTTTGGCACCCCAGAGCCCGGCTGTGCTGGGGCCGTGGCAGAGCCAGGAGAGCTGGTGCCCAGCGTGGGGCTGGGAAGGGGTTGCGATGCGGCAGGGCTTGCAGTGTTCCTTGCTGGAGCCTTTGAGGGGAACAGCAAATGCTCCAAGTGCTGCCCTAGGAAGGCTTCCTGCTGCTGTTCTGTTTCTTCTTGATCTTTTTCCTTGCAGGATTCAGATTTCATTATGCCACAAAATCTGGCTTTTGCGGTAAATTACATTCAAGCCAAACAAAATTGGTTTTGAATTATGTTTATAAGCTAGCTCTGCCAGGGAAGCTTTTGTACTGCTGCTTTCCTTCAGCAGGGCAGTGCCCCTGTTAGAGCTGGAGTTTTCACAGCCAAACTGTGGGAAGTGTCGGAGGTCAGGAACTTTACCTTACGCTTGCTCAGCAGGAGTCGTCGAGTCAGGAAAGCTTCACCCCAAACTCTGGGGCAGCTGGGGGCTTCCATGGGTCTGTCGAAACCTGCAGCTGGAGGGTAGTAGTGCCGCTTCCCGAACATGGTGCATGCTTGCAGGGGTGACAGTTCCTCCTGCTTGGAGGGGTGATGGCCCCTCAGCGCCTGCTTGTCCCCCAGCTCCCTGTCCCTGGGGATCAGCCAAGCGGGTGGTTTTACTGCTGAAGGCAGGGAGAGCGCAGAAATGCTTAGATACCTTTTTCTGACAGGGAACTGGCAAACGAGCAAGTGAGTCCAAACACAATGACTTTGGCTTGGGGATCGAAGCAGAGGAGAAATGGGTCATGTTCCCCAGAGCACAGGGAAACCAGGTACTGCTGGGCTAATATAAACAAGCCATAGATAAACAAAAGTAAACATTTAATTCTACCCCTTCTTTGTACCAAGGATAGGATCAGCATTAGGCTATCACATTTACAGTAACAGGCTGTACAGCCTTCGCCCAGCGCTGGCTGGGCTGGTGTACACGTTTGCTGACCCATTTGCACTGCAGTTGTCATGGCAAAGTTCTTGCTTCGGTTCATGGTGGCCAGGGCAAGGTATTAATTAATTTCTAGTAATTTATAACCCGAAAAAATATTCCCATGTTCCATTTTGCTCATGGGGGCTGAGTGGAGATAAACATCCCCTGTTCAAAAGGCTCTGCAGGAAAGGCACCACATTTCACTCAAGGTCAGCCTCGGTGACTCATACCAAGCAGTCAAATGCAAATACATCATAATAAACCGTTAAGTATGCATGACTCATTTTAATAGGCCTCACTCTAATACAAATTGACTAATGGGTATTTAATGACAACAAATGTGCCTGACTCCCATTGCATTTCTTCTTTAAAGCCCGCAGGATGCTAAAGAACCCAATGAATTTAGCCGCATGCCATTAATTTACGGCCAGAGCCCTCCATTGTCTCCCAGTCTAAATGCCCAGGTTTTGCAAACTGGCTTCAAATTGACTTGGAGCTGCAGGCTTAAATCTGAGTGGCACCATTTCAACAGAGAAATACTATAGACATCTATCAAAAGAGCACGAAGAAGTTCTGTAATCATTAGGGGCTGTTTGGTTTCTTGAATGGATGGTGGCTGCATTCGGCTATTTCTCAGCGGAAAGATTTGTATTGCTGACATTCCTCAAAAGACCAGTTGACTGTAATAAAAAAGTGTGTTACTGGGGTGCTGTAGGACTGAGGGTACCCCCAGGTATGCCCCCACGATGCTGCAGCTTGCATGCAGGCAGAATCTCTCCTTCTCACCAGGCTTTTAATGCACCCTTGGAGCGCTCGTGCTTTCCACCCCTGCCTTTCTCGTGTGCCCACACCCCAAAATGGTCTCTTTCCTCTCTTCTGGACCCAAATCTGTTCTGGAAGGTTAGCCTTCTATTAGCAAATGCAAGTGCCCGAGTACTGACTTTATAACTTGTATTAACTTGTTCCTTCAACATAGCTATACCTTGTGTTCCTCAAAATGCCCTTTAAACCCCTCTGCGCAAGAGAAGGTGCGGTTGGCAGATCTGGAGAGCAATGGGTTTCCCAAGTCAAGCTCTGCGAGCTGCTGCCAGGCAGAACACCATCTTCCACTGGCACAATTTGTTTTGAAAAATAAATACCTCTGCCTTTCAGTGAGAGTGGAAAAATGTACCAGCTGTCCACGTGTTTAGAGGGTTGTGAGGTGTGTCAACGTCGTGTAATTAAAGTTTCCTTATTACCCATGCTGGAAACCTTATCAGGCAAACACAGGTCTCCAGGTGCTTTGAAAAAACCCAGCATGCGTGCTGGTATCCTGGCCATGCAACACTGTTTTCACTGTAGACACGGGTCTTATTGGATGCTTTGGTTGGTTGTTTGCATGCAGTTGTTGTTTTTAACAGAGTAAGAATCTGTCACAGCCTGCAGCAGAGAACTGAACAGGGATGTCAGTGGCTGTGCTTTCCTAAGGCCTGGTATGTAGGAAAAGACCATCAGTTGCTTTTGAATCAGTTTCTAAATAAATGATCCATCAAGGATGTAGGCATTTGGAAGCTAATCTCACGCAGGGATGATAGATATGCAATACTTGGAGAGAAAAGCGTTCTGTGGGGATTCTTGTTTCCCAGTAACGTGGCCGTGTTTGCAGACAACCTCGAAGCTTTGCTCTGAAATGCTCTCCATGGCAGTGCCCCCCTGGAGAAGGCTTGAACCCGGGCCGGTCGTGTAGTCAGGAGCAGGGATGAGCCGAAGACCACAACCCTGAGACCAAGCGGTCTGCCTGAGAATTGGAGATACCCACCCCAGTGGTCCTCTGCCTGCGACTGAAACATCCCTTTCTCCTGGGCAGGACCCTCCCTGGCAAAGGGACCACCCTGGCCAGAGCCGAGGGCAGCGCTGCTGCCACCGCCATTAGCTGAGCTTCTGCTGCAGCCCCTGAGGCTCCTCTCGTGCCTGAGGAAGCCTTGCCCTCAAGTACACAAGCTGTACAAAGGGCTGACCCAGCAGGGGACAGCTTTTTTGGATACGCTTAAAACATTGGAACTTAACTTGCAGTTTGTTTGTCCCCTGCGAGGGATGGAGCAGCAGGCTGGTGCCGTAACAACGTATGGTGTTGCGGGGAGCTGCTCACCCAGCCCACAGCGGCGCCAGCACTGCCCCTGTTTCCCAGATGCCACATGCGATCTAAATACTGCAGGAGTGGCCTGGTTTTGCTGGGATCGGAGGCAGCAATCAGATGCCGGTATGCATGGCCATCTGCTTGGGGTGCAGTAGTGGCTGGTTTGGTGTCTGCCAGCAGTTCTGAGCAAGCTGCCATTAATGGGTGAATAAAGGGGGTCTGGCTCGTTTACTAGAGGGGCAATTAATAAGCCCCCACATGCTGGGATTTTATTTTTCCAGCAAGCCTGCAGGCAGATCGAAATACCTTTTCTGTAGCAGGCTGAGAAGTCCTCTACTTCTTACATGAGCCAGGAAAAAAAGACTGGTCCTTTTGCCTTTGATCAGTAATGCACGTTGACAAGTCACAGAGCAGCAGCTTTTTGGCTTGAAACCTCACTTAGAGCACGCTTATGCATGGCAATAAAAGTTAAATGGAAGTATATGACAGCTGACATGGCACAGTGCAGGATTTTTTTAAAATCTCCCCTGGATACAAACCAGCCCCATAGCAGCGGAAATCCCAGACAAGGAGCACCTTGTGTGTGAGCACAATTGAGTTCAACTCAAAACACAGCTGAGATTGCTCTCCTGCTCGTTTTTATGGAAAACAACTGCAGCACCCTCACTTTTTCATGCGGTGATCACTGCTTTTGGCTGGGACATCCAGGCTGGGCGTGCCCTGCCCCAACAAATTGAAACCTAATCTTTTATGGAGGGCCCTGGGGCTTCTGAACAGAGGAAGACTGTGGTCCACAGGTAAAAATACAATCAAAACCATATGTAAAAACACCACTGTATTGTTTGAAACCAAGAAACAATTTTTGTGCTGATATCAACTGTTTCAGGTGCATTAGTTGCAGTGGAGCGGAGTCATTTTGCATTAGCAGCATTTATTCTCAAAGTTAAAACCAATAATATTACATAGCAATTATGAATAAACCATCAAGTGTTGACACGTTAAAGTGTGTTACTACGTGAAAAGTAAGTGCTCTTCTTTAGCATTCTGCTTTAACACTAAAATACGTTGGTTTGATTGGTTTGCTAACTATAGAATGTCCCTGAGCTGCTGCATTTGTTGCGTTGATCTCCGACTGTAACAGGAGAGGCTGTTCTGTGGTTGGAGGAGACTGGATGTAATCAGGGTGCAAGCCACCAGGCTTTGCCCTCCTGGTACCTCTGGGGATCTCTCAAAACATGGGATGAAGAGCCGGGCTCTCCACCTCGATGGCCGCCCTGTGTGGAGCCTACACAAGGTAAGTGCTTTGCACAGCGCCAGCCGCGCCAGGCGGGAGCTGGGGACCTCCGACTGCTGGCCCCACGGCTCGCTGCGAGATCTGCTCGTTGTCCAAACGGGAGCATTTCACGTGAACTCCTTTATCGTGCTCTCGGCACACCGCGGGCTCCCCTGGCGCAGAGCAGGGCTGCAGCCCGTCCGTCCTCCCCGGGCAGTTCCCAAAAGGGTCTCTGCTAAGGGGAAGTGGTTTTGTTTACTCGCTCCTTGGCTCGGCATACATTTTGCAGTACGTTCCTCCCACGAATATGGCCCCCGTGTCCTGCTCAGCCAAACAAATCGCTCCTTAGCCTTGACTCATTAATGATTGAATCATATGCAAACGAAGTTAAAGGGTAATGTTGTGCTGCGCTCCAGGGATCCCAAAGTTCTCACCAGGGCATGGTCCAGGAGTGCTGGTGGAGAGGCAGCGGCAGCCCTGGGATGGTAAGGTGTCCTCATGCCCCAAGAGCCGGCTGTTGGCTGTGGCTTCTCGAGAAAACTCTGCTATTCCTCTAGCGAGACCATTTCTGAATGACCCCTTTAACTGTTTTACCCTGACCGCTTACTTTAAAATTGATTAATCAGTCTTTTTCTAACAACTGCCTAAATCAATGTATCTGTCAATACAGTAATTTTTAAGTTATTATTTGCATTTAAAGTGCTAACGTGCTAGAATTAAAATCTCACTGCGGCTTTGAGTTTCTTCTCGAGAGCCTGAACAGCCAGAGCTAGGCTGGGTGCTGCGTGTGGGGTTATTCCGACCAGAGTCGGCAGGCATGGCTATGTAATTTTTGTTTCCTGTGATATACAGTGTAAATGGAGATGTTTGCTGGGTGTAACTTTATGAAGTTTTGTGTATGCTGTGCTTTATTCTGTCTCATGATCTGCCTTTAAAGTAAAATACAGTGCTTTGAGAGCAAAGACCTGTTAACAAATTCTAGACACCAGAACAACTTTGAAAATGCTTGAAACAATTCCACAGTCTGTGGAGACTCTCTTTAGCAGACTTCGTGGCAGTCACGTCGCTGCTTTTTCAGAGCTTAGACTTAGCTTGATTTCCCTTTTAATCTATATCTCGTTTTTCTAATATTTTGGTTTCCCCTGATTTCTAATTGTTTTGCTAATATTTTAACCCAAGGCTCTCACTAAAAGCTTTCTTTAGCTTGCAGTTCCCCTGCAGGTGGGGGTGGGTGTCTTTGCCTGAGAAGGGAGAGGAGCGAGCACTTGAGATCCTACTCTATTTCTCTTCCTGTAGCAAGAAAGCATTTTTCTAACCAACCTTTAGAAAGAAAGCAAATTTGTCCTTGGGCAAACTCACACTTGGTGCAGCTTCCTAGAAAGCATTGAGAGCAGCGATCGTGCTATTTACTTCCAAGCTGACAGGAGCAGCTCTTTGTCTGGAGCCAAAGAGAAAATGAAATAGCGGTGCTGGAGGGCTGGCGGCAGTGCTGGCTGTCCTGCCGGGAGCTCTCCCGGCTGCAAACAGGCACACGTTTGCCAGCCCGGTGCTCAGCGCTGTCCCGGCAGGGAACAGCTTCTACTCCTCCAGCTGCTCCGTGGGGCTGGGCTTGGGGGACGCCGTGGTACGCAGGGTGTGGGCTTAGCAGAATTTATGGCTGTGATTGAATAAATCATACACAGTGTTCTCGCTTCATAGGAAGTTAGCAACAAAAGTGACTTTAAGTTTGTGAATTTGGCTTCGGAGGCATTTTATCCTGGTCTTGACTGTGCCGTCCCCTTGACTACAGTCGCTTTCAGATCAGTTAGGACTCAGTCATAACCGAACCTTCCCATCTTGAAAGGGCTTTTTGTAGCAAACAGAAGAGACTCGTAAAACCCCAGGAGCAGAAATGCCCTGTGCCTGCAGGAATGGCTCAGAAGTCCTCTGGCATGCCTGTCGTGATGCACAGGATACGCGCTTCATCCTCGCAGGGCTTTCCATGCAATTCTGGTACCAAGTTACCAGAAAAACCATACAAAGTGCATGACGAATGGTTCGATTAATTTAATAAACACATTCTCTCCTGACTCCTTAATGAATTCCGAGTAACGCTGTCAGAGCGTGGCTGTATTGCTGCTAATGAGATCATCCTTTGTAAGTCTTGACAGAGGACTTCTTCTTTAGTGATGAGTGAGGAGACCATGGGACAGGGCTTGGGTAACAGGGGGGCACATGACTGCCAGCAAGGGCTGTGACAAAGTGACGGCAGGTGAATTTCACTTTCACAGCCTCTGGTACTGCCGTGGGTTTGGCCAGGCAGCAGCTGGCACGCTATGGCAGATGCCTTCAGCTGATGCTCTTACTTCAAACTCCTCACGCTGGTTTTTGCTCAGGCAAGTTTTCATCTTGTTCAGTAACTCTGGTCAACAGCTGAAAGTAGAAATCTTGCATGCATAAGGGATGCTCTTTGAGTTCAAGTCTCTACTTACCATATAAGCTGTAAGGAACTAGCACGCTATATTTACCTATTACAGCAGCAATATAAAAATAGCCATGCAATGATATTTTACTAATTTTTGTTGGTGTGTTTTTTTTCTTTTGACTTTCCAGGCTGTGAACGAGACAAGTATCTGTTTGCTGATGAATAGAGGCCTAGAAAAGTATTATCTTTCCACGATGTACAGCCTTGAGTTCATTTTAGGCTTCATTGGAAACACCATTGCTGTGTTCGGCTATATTTTCTGCCTGAAAAACTGGAAAAGTGGCAACATCTACCTGTTCAATTTATCATTATCAGATTTATTATTTCTGTGTACTCTTCCAGTACTCGTGAACGGCTACTCCAGAGATCAGTGGGCAAAGAATAGCATCTTGTGCCACAGCAACAGATTCCTGTTGCACGCAAACCTTTATAGCAGCATCCTTTTCCTCACCATTATCAGTATTGACCGATACATGCTCATAAAACATCCTTTCAGAGAACATTTTCTACAGAAGAGGAAAACGGCCCTTATCGTGTCTGCTGCCGTATGGGTCGGGGTGATACTGGAACTGCTGCCGCTGATGTATTTCCTGGGCCATGTAACGTCTGCCAATAATTACAACTCTCTTGATTACGCGAGCTCTGGAGACCCCATGAAAAACCTCATCTATAGCATGTTCCTGACTGTCTTTGGGTTCCTTATCCCTCTTGTGATCATGTGCTGCTTCTATGTGAAGATGGTTCTTTTTCTTAAAAACAGGAGTGAGCAACTTAGTTCTCCCCTGATGCTTGAAAAACCTTTTACTTTAGTCATCCTGGCAGTGGTTATCTTCTCGCTGCTCTTCACTCCCTATCACATAATGCGCAATGTCCGACTTGCTTCCCGAATACCAGCCTTGAACATATCTGTGTGCACGCAGAGCATCATCAACTCCATTTACATCATCACAAGACCCATTGCATTTTTAAATAGTGCCATTAATCCTGTTTTTTATTTCTTAATGGGTGACCACTTCAGAGAGATGCTGATGGCAAAAATAAGGCAGCTCTTGAGCAGGTTGACAACCACCAGCAAATGAATGAAAAAGGAGACCCCCTTATAGTGGAAGATGAGGGGAGGAAAATCCCTTTGTGAGAGCATTCACCAATGCACAGTGCCATTTTTTTAGATAACTTTATTTGTGCTATAGAACATGTGAGAGCTGATCGTGTTGGTCTAAATGCCCTTGTTACCTTACTGTATGGGAGATGACCTTCTGCTAATCTGACTCCAGCAAACCAGAAGCGATGCTCGCTCACAGGAAATGCAGCAGGAAACCGTGCTCTCGGAGCAGGATACACTATGGCCTATTAATATTGTAAATAAAAGATCATTATGATAGTTCTTAGAGGTAAAATAGGCTACTCTCAGATGGCTGCTTTGTGAGCCATAACTTGATGCTGGACTGGACTTAGGCTTGGATAAAATGTGCCAGGGGCACTAATTCATGTGGTCAACACAATCCGGGGATTGAGATTGAGTCGTCTTTGTAGAGGTGTTTGCAACTCTGCATCTCATGGGAGGTTTGCCTTTCAGAATAAATAACTGGAATGATTTACATTTCCAGCTGATTTGGCCAGGGTTGGCATCTCGGCTGTGGCAAAACAGGAGGGTATGCAAAGGCCTGGGTGGAACGGTTTGTTGGCATTGCCAGAAGGGAGGCAGTGGCTTAGTTGCTATTTTTGGTTGTGATGAATGCAAGGAGTGCAGAGAGCTGTAACATTTGGCTTCTGGTCTTACAAGCATTCTGTGGAAGCCCATGAGACAGCAAAGATGTGTGTGTGTGTGTGTGCAGACGGGTTCTTTCACACTTTGATATTAAAGCTGGATTCAGCTTGCAGAAGTAAAAATAAGAAAAATATTTCGGTTTAGTTCTTAACTGAGATTTGCCTTTGTACATCACTGGGACAGCTATGCAGGCTCATACTGGCATTTTCGCGGTCACTTTCCAAAGTATAGATGTACTTAACTTTAATGCAATTAGCTGTAAGTGTGAGCAGAATGTACAGCTTGAAGCAGAATTTGGACCTCATGGTTAGAACTTCATTAACAGTTCCGATAACAAAACAGGAGCTAACGAGGAGCCAGTTCTCTGCCGAACATCCCTGCAGAATTGTTGCAGCAGCAGAACTTACTCTCCAATTGACTGACCTGACTTCAAACGTAAAGGCTGAAAAGATCAATGAAGTGATATGCTTGCATGAGCTTGGGCTTGGGAAGGACCTGCCGAGAGCGCCGGGGCATGCCGGAGGAGCGTGGGCAGGGTGCGGGCAGCCCCCTCCCTGCCTGAGTTCCAGCGAGAGATGGAGGAGCCCGCAGGGAAGCACGAGTTGAGCGATGCCCAGGGCTCAGTGCTCCCCGAGGCATGGGAAAAGGGACCAACGGTCGTTTCTCATCAGAGACAACTTTAGTTCTGCTTTCTTATGTGTTGTTCATCTGCAATGCTCTTAAATGTTTCACTAATACCCGCCTGCGATAATAAACTGTGCATCCCGTTACAAAACAAAGCAAGCCTCCTTCGTGTTGAGTATTTTGGTTTATATGCTATTCTCTCTAATGTCCACAAAGCCACTCTATCTGCCTTTTTTCCTGTTAACAGTAAGACCCTGAAGTTTGTGACCAAGAGTACTTTATCCCTCAAATTGAGGGATAAAGTAGCTGCTTTCCTCTGCAAGTATCTCTCACAAATATCCATGTCAGTGTTCCCCTGGGGCACTGGGTGGCCATGGCACATGCTGGGTGCTATGCCCAGGCACCTTCAGGACACCCACGGGGGTCCCCCTGAGTTTGGTGTGATGATGATTATGATCCTGGTGATGCTGCGGGAAGGATTTTGCTGTCATATCAGACAAGTGTCTCCTTCACCACTCCCCCAAAAGTTTGCCATGGTTCTGTGTCCCGCCCCAGCAATGCTGCTGGCTAAAGCCACTGCGCTCTGGCTCAGCTGGCAGCGGTTCCCACGCTGGACCAGCAAAGCTTTGGGGAGGCTGGAACAGCAGCCAGGCTGCGTCGGCGGGGAGAGGGCTGTCTGGAGAGTGCTAACCAAAGTTTTCACTGGAGAGAAACGTGCATAAATTCGTATTTTCTTCCATCTGTTTGCTTTGTAGCAAGTCTACATGTAAATCACTAAATTGCTCTGTCAGTGGTGGAAAAAAGATCCATCATGTGTGTTATGGCAGCACGGCCCGGGACAGATAAGGCTGCACTTGAGTTTCCATTATAAATGCCTCCTGTTTTTTAAGGACCATTGTAGGTAGCATCAAGAGGCAATAATTCAGCTGGGGGTGACATGGCACATGTTCAGCCCAATATAAGTGAAGCTAAGAGCAGAATTTCCAAAAGCGAGCTGAATATTCCTTTTTTAATGTTGAAGTCTAACACATTAAAGAGGAATTTTCTTCCAGGGAAAGCATCATACAGCAATATTAAGCTGAAACACCTTTAGTAGACTCACTTTTGCCTTTTGCAGTGGACAGAACAGGACTTTTCAAAGAAATGTTTATTTTTGAAACCTGTTGCTATTCAGGTCTTTCCTGTATCAGCTCAATGGCTTCTTTTTCTTGTGAATGGGCTTACGTGGGGCACAAGAGGAGTCAGTGGGTTTTGGTTTTTAAATATGTAATAATCCCAGAGCAGAAGTGGAAAGGCCATGCACACTCTGCCTGGACATGCTGTCTGTATTTAATTTTTTTCCCGCATTAGAGATTTGTGATTGTCAGCTCCTACATCTGGCCGTCTATATTTGCTCTCACTGCTGCCATCCACCTTGGGCTTGAGAGAGAATGTTCACCTAGCAACGTTATTAATGAGATTAGTGTGATAAAGTGGTGAATATTATTAATGCTGCAATACCATAGTCAGTTCAATTTGCAGTCCGTGCAGTATTCCTGGGTTTATATAGGTAGCTCCCGGTGCCCCCCATCAGAGGCAATGCCCGTTGCGGGCAGTTTGCTATGTGCCTTTTCCTTCTCAGTAGCAGTGTTTCTCTTCTGGTGATTACGATCATCTTCACAGGGTACGGAAAGGTCTTTCTTCACATTTTGATGTCATGGAGTGGTTTCGTGACACCAGCCATCCCTTTTTTCCTCCACGTGATGGCCGTACGTGCTGGGCGGTGAGATGCCAGCAACCCCGGGTTGTGCAAGTGCCAGTTCAGCATCCACATCTTGGCTGCAAAGGGCAAAGCAGAGGGAAGGGGCTGCCCGGCACTTGTTCAGGCCCCATACTGAAGGCAAAGCAGGAAGGAAGAAGAAGGCAGAATATAAATAAACCTCCGCCTACGAGCTGCTTTCCAGAAAATAGCTTGTGCAAGCCTCAGCTCGCACAGTGCTGGCCTCCCCCGGCAGCTGTGTGTGCAGAGGGGCAGATGAAGACGGGCAGCTTCCCTGGGAGCAGCCGCATTGGTAATTTGAAAGGATCTATTTAATTTGGCCTGTATGAATTGAAATGGTAAGCCACAGCCCGCTCTTAATGATATTAGAGAACACATCTCTGCCCTTTCAGAGAGCACGCGGGGTGGCAAGGGTTGTTTGGGGAGTGCAGCTGACCCTGCCTGGTGCCTGGCCCAGCTCATTCCTGCCCATGGCTGGGCATGGGATGCTCCAAGGTGGGCACAGCCAAGGCACGAGGACATGGTCCTGTCACAGCGTTATCAAAGCAAGGTCTGGTTTTCCTGTCAGCGTATGTCAGCAGAAATGCTGTTACTGCCAGGGAAGCGACCCCTGGGCTCTTTGTATAAATCAGGAAGAAACTTACGGTTTTGCTTTTGTTTTGTTTTGGTTTTTTTTAACACAGAAAACAGTCGTGCAGAAGCTTGAGTTGCTTTGACACCTGGAAGGTCTGGTTTAAGATGTTCTGCTCAAGGATGGGTTTGCTGGAAGAGAAGGCACTGCCAGCCCAACACCACCCAGGCGTCACTGCCCTGGTGCTGCCACGGTTTGGCCAGGGTCTGGCTCCGCTGTCCTGCAAAGGCTGGGATGAGGCCAGTCCAAGCCCTGTGACGGGGCTGGAGCCATGGGTATGCCAGGATGCCACTGCCCTCTCCCCACCAAAGACCCATCTGTCCAGCACATGGCATCCTGTGCCCAGGTGATTGATCGCCAGGAGGTGATTTTTCTTCATAAACAATGTGTAGTGACAGTTCTTATGGACTGATAAGTTCAATTATTTGTTTTGCTGTGTCCATTGAGGGGAGCAGGGTCATCTGCTCCTTATTAAGTGCACTGAGTCACTAAGGATACCCTCCCTGTGTACACACCGGTGTGGCATTTACCCACGCAGCTATTCCCCGTTGGCTTGGTAGCCAGCAAGTAATCATCATCTCTAAGTATAAGCCCTTTCTGTTAATATATACTATATATCCACCATAAAAGAGGTGCAAAGTTAGAAACTAGTACCTGTGCATCTGAGAGCCCAGCACCACTTAACAGAACTCCCATACATTATATCAACTGGTTTTTATAATAGCAATGCTATTATTTCTCTAGCATATGTACTGATCATATCATGGCACATGAAATTTTAAAAGACAGAGGCCAGATAATTAGAAAATTGGTTATTAATTCATTTAGCTGAAATTCTGAGGGACTGTAATAGCTCTAACTTGAGCAGGAACAGGCTGGCATCTGTTAGGCTCTTTTTTGTTTCTATGCAATTAAACCACAAGAAGAATACTAAAAAAAAAAATCACATCAACAATTTACCATGAAGTGGTAGCATCAAGCTGCTGACAGGGATGCAGGGGCGAACACTGCTGCTGCAGTGCGGGGTCTGAGGGCCATGGGGTGAGGGGTGGGGTTGAGATTTAACCCGGCAGCAGCTGAACCCCACGCAGCTGCTCACTGCCCGCCCCCGCAGTGGGATGGGGGAGAGAATGGGAAAAAAAGTAAACCCATGGATTGAGATAAAGACAGTTTAGTAAAACAGAAGAGGGAAATAGTAATAATAATAGTAATAATAATAACAATAATATACAGAACATACAAAACAAGCGATGCACAATGCAATTGCTCACCACCCGCTGACTGATGCCCAGCCCATCCCTGAGCAGCGATCACTGCTCCCTGGCCAACTCCCACCAGTTTCTGTACTGAGCATGATGCCCTATGGTCTGGAATACCCCTTCTGGCCAGTTGGGGTCAGCTGTCCTGGCCGTGCCCCCTCCCAACTTCTTGTGCCTCTGGCAGAGCATGAGAAACTGGAAAGTCCTTGACTTAGTGTAAGCACTGCGTAGCAACAACTAAACCATCAGGGTGTTATCAACATTCTTCTCATACTAAATCCAAACCACAGCACTACGCCAGCTGCTAGCAAGAAAATTAACTCCAACCCAGCTGAACCCAGGACATGGGGCTAGGCTCCGCTGGGTGCAGGCTCAGTGCCCTCTGGACCAGGTCCTGCAGCCCAACCCAAAACCTGCTTTTGGTTATTGCAAATGAATGGGATTTGGAGCTGCAGAAAGAGAAACTAGAAATATTTGCATGCCCTGACTAAGCAAACAACACCCTGAACGCTTGCTTCCTGTTCGAAATGGAGGACAAGCCCTGGAGCTGGCACCTTCCTTGGCCACACTCAGCACCTTTCCACTCTTTGCACGCACAGCTGGTTTGTCAAGGGCTGAGCTGGGCTCTGCCTTCTAAAGTCCCCCAAAGGCAGAACTAGCACAGGTGACCTCGTGTCCAGCTGAAAGGTGGTTGTCTCCGCTGCAACAGAATCAGCAGCAATATTTGCGTTTACAAACAGCGTGCTGAAATCTCTGAAACTGTTTTAGACTCAGGATTATAAACCCAAATGCTTTTGAAAACTGCCTTTCACAGCACTACCTATTATACAGGTCTGCAGCGCTTACAGACCCAGGCAGTATGTAAAACCAACATCTTCTAAGATGTCTCATGGCAGATATTATTTCCTATTTCACCTATTTTTGCCAAAATTCCACACTGGTGATAGTCGGTTTGTGTCTCCTGTTGTCATCTTCAATGTTTCCTTCTCTTTAACATCTTTGCTGCAGACGCTGTGCTCCAGCAGTTGGACGCGTGGGCCACCTAAGATGCAGGGTGAGGAACTTAGGTTTTATTGACTATTTATTCAAAGACCAGCTGTTGTTTAATCCCAGGAAATATTTCCTATTTAATAATATAAAAATATGTAATGTCATAAGATCATAGGATAACTCGGGGTGGAAGGGATCACAGGAGATGATTCAACCCAACCTCCTGCTCGAAGCAGACAGCTGTGGGGTCAGACCAGTACAGCCACAGGAACTGCGAATGGCAAGTCTGATTTTAATGCTACGTGAGGAATTAGATATAGCCAAAATAAAAATCCATGTTATTTATATAATTAAGTTTTAGAACCA